TCTCCACCAGCTTCCAGTGTTCTGTGACTCCAGTTCCTGGGGATCCAACACTCCCTTCTGACCTTCTTAGTGTTGCACACACTGTGGTGTGCAGTCCCATATGCATTAAATGATAAATAATAGATCAGAGGGACCAGACATGTGGTGTACCTTTAATCTCAGCACATCTCTGTAAGCTCAAGGCCAGCCTGGTCTACATAATAAATTTCAGGCCAGCCTGGTCTATATAGTGAAACCATGTTGAAAATACCAATGACAACAATAGTAATGGTAATAATAATAATTATGATGTCATCAGAGCCAGCAAGATGTCTTAGCAGGTAAAAGCACAGAACCCAATGGTTTGAGTCTGATTTTCCCTTTTTCTTTTCTTTCTTTCTTTTTTTTTCTTTTTTGGTTTTTCAAGGCAAGGTTTTTCTGTAGCTTTGGAACCTGTCCTGGAACTAGCTCTTGTAGACCAGGCTGGCCTCAAGCTCACAGAGATCTACCTGCCTCTGCCTCCTGAGTACTGGAATTAAAGGTGTGCACCACCACTTTGAGTCTGATTCTGAAAGGCCAGTATGGAAAAAGAAAACTGGTTTCTGAAAGTTGTCTTCTGACCACCAGACTCCCGTGCTCACACACACGGTAATAACACATAAAATAAAAAAGACGAGAAAAAAATGAACATCCCGGGGCTGTGGGTGAGCCTAGTACGTCTGGGAGGCTTCTGGTAACTGGATGCTGGATGCTGGATTGGGGGCAGTGTAGAAGTGAGGTGCAGGGTGCAGGGCTTTCTGTCCATGGTCCATCATTGCCGGTGAAGAGTGTTAAGTAGGGAACCAGGCATGGTCACATGATGTAAACTGAAGGCAGGGACAAGGGAGCCTGGGAGACTAATTGGGAGGCTGTCTGTCATTTAGAGGGAAAAACAAAAGGAACTGAGGTATATCAGAGGGCAGTGGAAGGCTGGAGAGCAGCCAAGCCTCAGGCTTTTTCTTCTGGGGCTTTGCATCCTTGCAGTAAAGCTGAGGGTAAAAATCACACAACAGCCTGCCTCTCACCCCAACACATCCCAGGGTCTCTCCTGCAAGTGGGACAGAGGACTGGGAAGTGGGGCGAGGCCTTAGAAGGCCTGAGGAAAGGGAAGGCCCAGGAGACTTGTTTGGCCTCAAACTATACTTGGCACCGCTGAGCAAGAGTGACTCTGCTTCCCCCGTCCCCCATCCCTCCCTTCCTCTCCTAGGTAGGATTCAAACCTATAAACTTTTAGTTAACAGCTAAACACCTTAAACTAGTGGCACTGGGCAATGAGGGCACGGGGGGGGGGGGGGGGGGGGGGGAGGAGCCTGGGAGTAGGGACCTGAGGGAGCCGCAGGACCGAGGGGTCTGTACTGCTCTGAGGGAACCGCAGGACCGAGGGGTCTGTAATGCTCTCAGGTTGGTTCCTAACACTTCTCCCACCCAGGACCTTCTGTCTCCACACCGGTCACAATTTCTTCCACCCACTAGAGAGAATTTCTCACACTCCTTTTCTAAACTGGGTGGGTTTTTTGTTTTTAAGTGGGGAAGGGCAATTTGTGGAAGGGTTAGAAGTGTGCCTGCCATTGGCTTCACGAGTCCCTCCCCAGTGCCCGGAACTGGTCAGAAATGAGTCTGTGGTCAGTGAAGATTACTGCTAATGGAACCTAGGCTGCCTCACAAGCCACAAAAAAGGTGGGGGAGGGAATGAGCCCTAAGTGCAATGATCTTGGGGAGGGATGTGGGCCTAAAATAGAGCTGTAGGTCAGGGGAGAAGGGGAGCTGGTGGGAACTTGCGGGTCAAGGGAGTGACTGCAGGGCTATCCAGGGCTCTGGGGGAGTGCAAGTCAACTGGGAACTGAGTGGCAAAGGAATAATTACAGTGACCAGAGGCCCGAGGGAAGACTGGGAGATGTGGGGGTTAAGGAAACAGCTTGAGTGATTAAGGGTGCAGAGGAATTAGAGAGAGTACCTCTGAGGCTTGGATAGCCCGGATCTAGGTTGTGTGAGAAGAGGAGAGAAGGCACAACTGGGATGGGGAAACTGAGGGACACGCTGAGGAGCAGTTGGAGGAAAGAGTAAGCACGGCGTCCTGCAAGAGGACAGGACCGAGGTCATCCTGGCAATGGGAGGAAGGGACCGACCGCCTCGGGTGTCACCTCACCTGAGGAGGGGGCACCAAGCCCAAGACTTTGCCAGGGTTCTTACTTTGCTTAAAACCCTCTTGGCACTGGAGCCAGTGTCAGACAAAGGTATTGTCTCCTCCCCACTGCCATCAATTATTCATCAGCGCAGACGCCGCCCTCTCTAGCAGGGCAGTCTGGTCCTCCTCCCATGCCCTACCCAGCTCAGCCACACTGCCACAGAGGCTCTGGTGGGGAAGGACAAACAGCAGGGCGGGAGAAGGCCGTAGGACCAAAGGGTGCGGTAGCTGGCCCTGCTGGACTACACCAAGTCGCTCTCCTTGCTTCTGGCACCTTCCTCCTCCTCCCGCCGCCCGCCGAGAAGATGCCCATTCAGATCTTCTGCTCTGTGTCATTCTCCTCTGGGAAGGAGGCCCCAGGACCCATGGGGGATATCTGGGGTCCTCACCACCACCGGCAGCAGCAGGACAGCTCAGAATCCGAAGAGGAAGAGGAAGAGAAGGAAAAAGAGGCAGTCAAGAGGGAGCTTGATGAGGGGGACTTGCCTAGGGACTTGGTGGCCTTTGCCAACAGCTGCACCCTCCATGGTGCCAGCCATGTCTTTGTGGAAGGGGGCCCAGGACCAAGGCAGGTCCTGTGGGCAGTGGCCTTTGTCATAGCACTGGGTGCCTTCCTGTGCCAGGTAGGGGACCGAGTTGCTTATTACCTCAGCTACCCGCATGTGACTTTGCTAGATGAGGTGGCCACCACAGAACTGGTCTTCCCTGCGGTCACATTCTGTAACACCAATGCTGTCCGGCTGTCCCAGCTCAGCTACCCTGACTTGCTCTACCTGGCCCCCATGCTAGGGCTGGATGAAAGTGATGATCCCGGGGTACCCCTTGCTCCACCCGGGCCAGAGGCTTTCTCCGGGGAGCCCTTTAATCTCCATCGTTTCTACAATCGCTCCTGCCACCGGCTGGAGGACATGCTGCTCTATTGTTCCTACTGCGGAGGCCCCTGTGGTCCCCACAACTTCTCAGTGGTGAGTGGGGCCCACGCTTAGCATAACCCCCAAGAGTATATGCCATAGCTCTCTCTGGCCACCAGCTCCTGGACCTGGGGCTGGTAACTGCTGAACCCTGCCTGATCTGGGTCAGAGTTCACCTGGGATCCCCGAGTCTGGAGCTGGACTAAGAGCTCCAGGTTCACAGGTCTTGAAATCTGTCCCCATCGGTAATTAGCGGCCACTCTGATGCCTAGAACATCCTCTAGTCTCATCTGCTCTTCGCCTGATCTTTTCATGGTCCAGCATGGCCCCAGAACCTTGCTTGAGCTGTGAAGTTAGCCTCTGATGGGGGTGGGGGGTAGCTCAACCAGTTGTTGACTGTCATCCCTGGAGTGATAGTGGGGGGTCACCTAGTCTTTAGAGGTGCAGAAGGGGATCACAGATGGAGACAGCCCCACCCGTGTCAGCAGATGTCATAGCAGAGACCTCATTGCATTGTTACCTTGTCGTCTGTGTACTTCCTCTGCCAGGGGCGTGTGTGTTTGTGTGTGTGTGTGTGTGTGAGAGAGAGAGAGAGAGAGAGAGAGAGAGAGATTGAGTGTGTGTGTGTGTGTATCTCCTGTGCTCTTTCCTATGGGAGTTGATCCCCTACCAGCTGCATGTGGGGTGTGTGTGTGTGTGTGTGTGTGTGTGTGTGCGCGTGAGGGAGAGAGAGAGAGAGAGAGAGAGAGAGAGATCCATCTGTCTGTGAAGCCAGGAATCTTCTAAGTCACAGCCCATGCTCCCAGCTCTGATTAAGTGGCCAGGACTTTCTTCCTGGAGGAAGCCATCATTAGAAAATATCACCTTTCCCCATTGCTCTCCTCACCCAGAGGTGGAGGGACTTCTTAGTTAAGGGACCACCTGCTATCTACCATCTCCCCAGTTTGGCCTGTCTGGCTTGATGCCCTCTCTAGTTCCCTGCAGATTTCAGATGCCTGACCTTTCTCCATACCCTCTATGCCCTACTATGTAGGTGTGCATGGTGTCACCTCAGTCCCTGAAATGATTGTGACCTGGTGGTTTTGGCCACTGGGCATCAGTGGGGGCAGAAGATACAGGATTACCTAACAAGGGAGGTATCTGCTTTGAGGTCCTCAGAGCTCTACGAGAGCACCCCAATATGCCTCGCCTTGGGACTGAGCACCCCAACATGCCTTGCCTTGGGACTGAGCGTGTCTAGCCTTGGTACTCAGTCCTGAGTCCTGGGGAAGGGGGTGATATGCTCAAGTAAGTCTTGGCATGGCAACTGGGTCTGCTTTCAGGTTCTAGTGATAGTGGAACAATGGCGGACATGAGAAGCTCATAGTGGGAAGAAACCAAAGGGCTTAGCTTTAGGGGCTTAGGTGCAGAGGAAGGTCTTGGGGAGGATTTCCAGTTTAGGAGGTTGAAATTCCAAAGTGAAGATCTAAAGATCTATTTCAGAAGGCCTCAGCAGTCTGGCAGCTATAGGATCATGGTGACAGAGGTGCATATGTTAGGGCCATAGCAAGAAAAAGATCGTCCCTGGATAGTTCAGTTGAAAAGACCTTAACAAAGGGGCTGTCCGTAAAGCTGTGTGCAAGATTAAGGAAGCCATAAGCCAATGCAGCAAGTAATAGTTGGAAACTGTTATCACTTCGAGGCTGAAGGAGCACAAAGGGAGTCCAGGCAAGAGTTATGATCTTGGATGGTCTAAGGCACTGCCAGTGTCACAGAGAGGCAAGGAGAGGGATCAGTATACCTCCCTCCCACGCCTGTGTCTGATCCCTGTGGTTCCCGCTATTTAAACCCAACCAGACGCTCATCTGACTGTTGGGACTCTCACGTCCTCGACTGCCTTCCACCAGGTCTTCACACGCTATGGGAAGTGTTACACATTCAACTCAGGCCAAGATGGGCGGCCGAGGCTGAAGACCATGAAAGGCGGGACTGGCAATGGCCTGGAGATCATGCTGGACATCCAGCAAGATGAATACCTGCCTGTGTGGGGAGAGACCGGTATGTTTCCCTGCTCAGGAGCCCCCTCCCTGAACCCCTCTGGCCCCAGACTCAACTAGAGCTCCACTGTGTGGCCCAGAGGCCAGACTCAGACTCTTCCCCTTCCTCCTAAGACCTCTCCACTGCTGTCTTTGCCCCGGTGTTACTTCCCTGGCTCCCCCTTCCTGGTTCAGTTACTCTCCACGGTAACCAGTCATCATTCTCTTCTGGCAGTGGCCGCCACTCACTATAAATTAACTCCCTCTCTTCTGTCTCAGGGGACACAGGGGCAGAGAGATGGGGAGAGGGGAGAAAGGGTTGAGGAGAAATGGAGAGGGGCCGAGACAGTGGCACTCCAGGAAAAATAATCCAAAACACCAAGGTACATTGCAGACACCAGGTAAGAAAAGACGTGTGCAGGACGCAGCAGTCACTGGAGCACCACAGAACGCAGGAGGCTGGAAGTATGCTGGGACCCCACAGCCTCCTCCCCAAGTCCGTGCCGGGGAGGTGTGATGTCCCAGGCCTGGATGACTGGGGACTCAAACACTCCTGACCGACATGCCTTCTTCTTTACAGACGAGACGTCCTTCGAAGCAGGCATCAAAGTGCAGATCCATAGCCAGGACGAACCTCCTTTCATTGACCAGCTGGGCTTCGGCGTGGCCCCAGGCTTCCAGACTTTTGTGTCTTGCCAGGAGCAGAGGGTGAGGGGGCTACTTCTGGGGTTATGCTGAGGAGTCAAGATGGGGTTCTGGGGAACTGGGAAGATGGCTCAATGGGTAGTGTTTATTATATAAGCATGAGGCCTTTAACTGAGATCCCTAACACCCATGTAAAAATCAAGGTGGTGCACACCTGTAACCCCAGTTCTGGGCTTGGGATGCAGAGACAGGTGGATCCTCAGGCCAGTAAGCCCCAGGTACAGTAAGAGATCCTGCCTCGAAAACAATAGGTAGAGAGAAATAGAGGAACCCATCCAATAATCCAGTATCTACTTCTTCTGAGCTGTGCATGGGGCACAGCCATACTCATGTATACAACCACACACACACACAGAGAGAGAGAGAGAGAGAGAGAGAGAGAGAGAGAGAGAGAGAGAGAGGATCAAGAATGGAAGGAATAGTCTATGAACTCTAAGACCTTTAGAAGTGCAGGGATATGACTCCTGAGTTCTGTATCTTGCCAGAGGAGTCCGGTTAGGGTGAGTCGGGGAGAAGCCCCACACCTCCCCAGCTCCCCGGCTCTCCCAGCAGCTCATCTACCTGCCCTCACCCTGGGGCACCTGCAAAGCTGTCACCATGGACTCGGATTTCTTCGACTCCTACAGCATCACAGCCTGCCGCATCGATTGTGAGACGCGCTACCTGGTGGAGAACTGCAACTGCCGCATGGTGCACATGCCAGGTCAGGCCCCGAGATTCCAGACACAGTCCCGGGCCGTCTCAGGCTGCATGGCCCCTCGTCTGTGTCCCGTCTGTATTGGCCTCCCTAGCCCTGGTCCCAGATCACTCCATTTTTTATCTTTCTGGCTCCTGTCTCTCAGTTCCTGCCTATGTTTACAGGCAGGGTGGACTGTCCAAGTAGGTGACTTCCAGGGCAGCAGGGGTGACTAGTCCTGCTGACCCACCTTCCTCTTCCACAGTACCATGCCACCACAAGACCCCTTTAATCTCCACCTGTCCCACTATCTTCTCTCCTTTGTAGGGGATGCCCCTTACTGCACTCCAGAGCAGTACAAGGAATGTGCAGATCCCGCCCTGGGTGAGCGCCTCTGACCTGGGACACTAAGAGGGAGGGAAGAAAGTGCTGTCTGCCTTGTGCACAGGGGACTGAGGTCAAGGGTGAACTCCTGCTGTGCCTCCACCGGCAGCAGCCTCTAAATGCCAAGAACTGCGCCAGCAAAGGTCCCTGTGGAGAATTCACAAGGGTCTCTGGGGAGGGCCTTCACCCTCTTTCAGCCTCAGATGGTTGGTTCTCGAGAACCCTGAGGGAATCACATAAGATGAACTATATCTGCAGGGAGGCTGGGTGAAGATCAACTAAGGGTAGACACGGGGCTGAGGTGAAAGAGAAGGGATCCCAGGGGTCCTCTGGGCAGGGCCAGGATGTCCATACTGGGAAGGTGCTGGCAGAAGGACACCACTCATCTAGTGGCTCTTGCGTGGGCACAGACTTCCTAGTGGAGAAAGACCAGGAATACTGCGTGTGTGAAATGCCCTGCAACCTGACACGCTAAGGCAAGGAGCTGTCCATGGTCAAGATTCCCAGCAAAGCCTCAGCCAAATACCTGGCCAAGAAGTTCAACAAATCTGAGCAGTACATAGGGTAAGGACTCCTATGCAGGGCAGGGTCCTTGTGCAAGGCCTGGAGTCTCGCAGGCACAAGGGAGCTGAGAGAATTCACGCACGGCCCAAGAGGCAACCAAAGAGAGTGGGTTGTGGGGGGAGATCAAGCATAAGTGAGGCAAGCGCTCCTCCCCCACTCCGCGCTCCATCTTCCCTGCTGTAACTGGGATCACCTCCCACTTGCCAGCATGCAATGTGTCTTTTCATACATGCCATTTAAATCAATCCCCGCAGCACCTCTAGAAGACAGTATCTCCTCTAGGAATATGGAAACAACCTCAGAGAAGTTAACATGCTGAGATCACCTGTCTGGAGACTTGAACCTAGCTCTCCTCCTTTCCCCCTGCACAGGGAGAACATCTTGGTGCTGGACATCTTCTTTGAAGTCCTCAACTATGAGACCATCGAGCAGAAAAAGGCCTATGAGATCGCAGGGCTCTTGGGTGAGCTTGTGAGCAGAACCAGTCTGCTCCTGTGCCTAGGACATGACACACACCACTCCTACCCCGGTTCCCAGGGGTCTTTCCCTAAGCCCTCTAGCGTGGCATGGAGTGAAGGAAAGGGGCAGGGCCTTCTCCTGGGACAAAGTAGAAAAGACAAGCAAGTAGGTCAGAGAAAGGGGCCGATAGGCAGGAGCGGAAACTTTCACGTCCTTGGAAGTGGACCGGGTGCTAAACAAGTAGTACACTTTGTAAAGAATTCATTTTCTGTGAGTTCAAGGCTAGCCTGGTCTACAAGAGCTAGTTCCAGGACAGGCACCAAAGCTACAGAGAAACCCTGTCTCGAAAAAACCCAAAAGAAAAAAAAAAAAAAGAATTTGTTTGGAAAAGTAGGAAAATACAGAAAAGCATAGAGAATAAAAAGCCTGCCAGACTCTGGTTTTCTGACCCTTGTGTCTCAAGATGCAAATCTCTGCAAACATGGCTGGCCTGCCCCAGTCCTGTTGAGCCTCATCACCTCTCGGCTCTCAGTGTCCTGAGCCCACTAACTACTCTAACCTGACCCCGCAGGTGACATCGGGGGCCAGATGGGGCTGTTCATCGGGGCCAGCATCCTCACAGTGCTGGAACTCTTTGACTATGCCTATGAGGTAAGGGGGGCAGAGCTGGGCAGGGCCACACAGGGTTGGGGGTTTCCAGTCCACCCAACCTGCCTGACCTCTCCCAGGTCATTAAGCACCGATTGTGTAGACGAGGGAAATGCCAGAAGGAGGCCAAGAGGAGCAGCGCAGATAAGGGTGTGGCGCTCAGCCTGGACGACGTCAAAAGACACGTGAGGGAGCAAGGCACGGGGTGTCCTCTGGCCTGCCCCTTCCCCCAAAGCCTCACACCAACCCCCTCCACGCCACAGCTACCTGTTTATCTGCAGCCCTTTCTGTAACCTGTCCCTGTCTCATTTCCCTCCGCTAGAATCCCTGTGAGAGCCTCCGGGGACATCCTGCCGGGATGACTTACGCTGCCAACATCCTACCTCACCATCCCGCCCGAGGCACATTTGAGGACTTTACCTGCTAAGCCCCCGCAGGCCACTGTACCAAAGGCCTAGGTGGGGAGGACTAGAAGAACAAGGGGCCCCCAAGCGCCCCCATCGACCCTGGGGACTCAACTGCACTCCTATGCAGCGGTTCCCTCGTCTGGTGAGAAAGGTCTTCACCGTAGTCCTCTCCCTGCCTCATCCCATCTTTTTATTTTAACAAAGTTAAACTAATATAAAAAGAGAAAGAGAGAGATCCGGCCCAGACCTCAGGCTGCCTCCCCTGGCTCCAAGCTGAATTCTGTCTGTCTGGCTGTCTGTCATCTGAGTGTTCGCCTACATTCTGCTCCCATCAGTCACCAAAGCCCCCTCCTAGTGAGGGGTGGAGGGGATCCCTAGAGTCTGAAATTTGACCCCAAACCAGAGAATGTATCTTAAGGGAGAGCACTAGTGAGGGGGCTTCCCTAGCCTTAAGAGACTCTCAGCCCACTGACTCCCCACGAGCCCCGGTCTCCAGGTAAGAACTAAATGCCCAGTTCTGCTCCCTCAATCATATGGAATCATGGGGGTACAGGATTTCCTAAAGAAGTAGAGTGAGGCCTCCATGTGGCCCTGGTGCTGTAGGCCACATCCCAGTATCTGTAAGTCACCTCCACCTCCAAGCAGCCGGAGAGACATTCTCAGAGGCAGCCCTCTTCTTCATTCGATAAAAGACCTGGCTGGTTAGCTTCCAGCTCAGGGAGCGGGGTCCTGGAGCCTGACCTCCCTGGCTTCTCTCTCAGAGGCCTTTGCAGAGGGCCACATCCATAAATTTTCTTATGGAACGCTCCTCTTCCCCAGCTTCATTTGCTTCTCCCGGCAATCTCGTCTGCATTTTCTATTTCTATATGATACAGACTCTATATTGCTATATCTCTGTATATACTTTCCTCTCACCCTGTTTGTCTCCACCCCATCCCCTCTTGTCTCTGAGAATCATCCTCCCACCCCAAATTCTCCCCATTCCGCCCCACCCCTGTCTCTGAATGCCTTTGCCTGTATAAAGAGTTGGACTCCCCCCTGGTGTCTGTACTGTGTACACACATCCCTTTGAGAAGCACAAGGAGACGACACGCGCATTGTAACCTTCGCACTGTCTCGGTGGTGACATAAAGGAAGCTGTGAATTACAAGCTCTGCCTCTTTCTGGCCTCGCCCTTGGCCCCCGCAACTGGGGCACCCTCTGCCCTCCCCACAGCCTTAACACACCCTCTTCCTAGCTCCATCTATCCCAATGCCCATAGCGTGGCTGACCGTGGCCTTCCCAGGGACGGGACTGCTGCAGAGGTGACACCTACCCAGGAACGGAGCTATGCTGGACACTAAGCCAAGAGTGTTAGAGACAGAGGGAGCTGGGGATTGGTGACTCTTGCAGTGGGGGCAGTGGGTACCCACAGACAGAAGCTGAAGTCCTCATTCAGTGGCCTTTCTCTCCTCTGGGTGCCCAGTGTCCCTTCCTCAATTTGATGACCAGGCCCACCGCTTGCATTTTCTGGTGAGGCAGGGTTTGGTCACGTGAGGAGAAAGACGGGGAGAAAGAGGGAGTTGAAAGCTCTGCTGTTGTATGTATGTCCCTACCTTACGGGGCCACAAGTAGAAGTAGAGGGCATCCCCACCCCTACCAGGCACTCTTCCCAGGCCAGAGACTCAACCCTTTCCCAGGCCTTCTCTGCCCCACTGTTTCCTGGTCACTAATCCCAAAACAGGACTTGTGGGCAGATCACCTGTGTGTGTTGGCCTGGAGCCAGAGAGAGAGGTACAGCATCTTTGAGAACTCTTGGTTCCCAAGATTTCTTGAGCCATCAGACCTCCCCTGAAGGGAGCAGGGCAAAGCTGAGAAGTGTGCCCTGGCAGGGGGATGGCAGGCGGGGCTCCAGGTGCCGCATGTCTCTGGTCTAATAAACTGGGTTCCAACCATCTCCTCTCCAGCGTCGTTCTTTTTGGTTGAAGAGTTTGTAGGTATTGCCACTAGAGTGGAGCTTGGCGTGAGGGTCGCACTGACTACAGTAAGGAATGGGAGCGGCAGTCAGGTGTGGTGGTTCCACCTGTAATCCCAGCCCCTGGGAGATAGAAGCAGCTATCGTCCCTCACAGGGTTTAATAGGCTGGTCTACATGAGAGTCCACATATCTGATCAGGTAAACACTGACCCTCTTGGAAAAGGACAGGTTCAGGGATAGTTTGAATCACTGGGCAGAGGAAGAGCAATGTAATCAAAGGCAACGGATTTTCAGGACTCTTTGGAGAGGATTCAAAGGAAAAATTCATTCAATTACAGCCTGAGATGAAGGATGAAGTTCCCGCATCGGGGTGTTATTGAGCCATTATCTGTGAAATGGGGCCCAGACTACCAACCAGGAGACCGGAATCTAGAAAGCCTTTTCTTTTAATTTGCTGATTTGTCTTCGCAAAGACATTTACCTCCTTTGAGTTCAGCTTTTCCGTTTGTAAAACGAATGAACAGGACGTTTCTCTGTCTTGAGTACCCGGAGCCCGGGTAGTAGGAGATGGAAAGCAAACACTCTGCGGAGGTGGCTGGTTCTCCTTCCAACGCCTCGTCGTCCTCCGCCCGCCTGAGGGCGCCCGCTCCCTTACCTCTCTATCCACACATCGCTTCTCTATGGTGCCCCCTCCTGGACCGGGAAGGCGGGAGGGAGTGGTCAACTCGCCTTTTCCGCTAGTGGCCCCCTCTAGCCCGTAGTCTCGCTGCCCCGAGCGCCCGTGCCCGCCGGCGGGCCGGGCCCACAAACAGCCCAGGCGCTCGGGGGGCGCGCGGGGGGCGGGGGGAGTTCCGGTTCCGGTTCTTTGTGCAGCTGCAGCGGCGGCTCCGGGAAGATGGCGGCCCGGGCGGGTTTCCAGTCTGTGGCTCCGAGCGGCGGTGCCGGAGCCTCAGGAGGGGCGGGTGTGGCGGCTGCTCTGGGCCCGGGCGGAACTCCCGGGCCTCCCGTGCGAATGGGCCCCGCGCCGGGTCAAGGGCTGTACCGCTCCCCGATGCCCGGGGCGGCCTATCCGGTGAGTGGGGCAGGAGGAGGGGCGCGTGGGCCGGGGGCGGGGCCGAACGAGGGCGGAGGACGGATCGGGTGAGGGATAAGTGGGAGGGACTCCCTTGGGATGGGTTCGGGTCCTGGGTGGAGGTGGGGGGGTGGTGGTTAGCATCTTCACCTGCTCCCAGCGGCATTGTTTCCTTCTGAGGAGTGAGTGTGATACCAGGGTGGTGAAGTGGGCCCTGGGATGGGCAGCTCCAGCAACCAGAGAACACCCAAGTTCGAGCTGCAAATTGAGGTCAGCTTCAGAGGAGATAGCAGCTAGTAAAGTAAATATAGAACTAGAGCTGTCTGGTGTGTCAGATCCAACATAGACCAGAAAACTTGACTACAACCTGGTTTTTAGACCCTGTATTCAATGAAATCGCTACCAGGCCTGAAGAAGGTCCAATTACCACATTTTAGAGAGGGCAGAAGGCTGTGTGATTGTCCTCTACCCAGCCATGTTCCATCCCAAAAATTCAGGCTTCCATCACTTCTCGGTGGTGCTGTCAAGGAAAGGTATGACATCTCTGGGTCCTCTCCCTTCTGTAGAGACCAGGCATGCTGCCAGGCAGCCGAATGACACCTCAGGGACCTTCCATGGGACCTCCTGGCTATGGGGGGAACCCTTCAGTCCGACCTGGCCTGGCCCAGTCAGGGATGGACCAGTCCCGCAAGAGACCTGCACCTCAACAGATCCAGCAGGTCCAGCAGCAGGCGGTCCAGAATCGGAATCACAAGTAAGATGACCCCCGGGGTGAAGGAGAGAAGCTGACGGGAGGAGGCCTGTGCGCATGCAGGCGGTGGGAGTACGGAACCAGGAAGTGGTGGTGCTATGTCACCCTGTGAAGGCTTCCTGGCATCCTGGTGGAGATGGAGATGGAGTTGTTGATGAGAACGGCACAGTCGTTTTGCAGGCCTTAGCTGTGCCGTAAAGGAAAGCGATGACAGCCTAGCTCATGTTCTCACTGGTTCTGTCCCACCCTGATAACAGTATTTATTCTGAACAGTGCAAAGAAAAAGAAGATGGCTGACAAAATCCTACCTCAAAGGGTGAGTGCAGCCTCTCGAGGTCTTCTTGAAGGTAGAGTGACTGAGAATACAGGTGGTCGGCTCTAGGGCCCAATCATATCTTTCTGTTCCTAAGATTCGGGAATTGGTACCAGAATCACAGGCCTATATGGATCTCCTGGCTTTTGAAAGGAAACTGGACCAGACTATTATGAGGAAACGGCTAGATATCCAGGAGGCCTTGAAACGTCCCATCAAGGTAACACAGCAAAGCAGAGGCACGGGGTCAAGGGAGGGAACAGGAACCTTCACCAGGCTTAGGATGAAAAATCAAAGGCACAGCACAGCTCTCCTTGGCATTTAAATTGCATCTTTCCCTTCCGCCTACAAACCAGGAATTACATTAGGAGCATAAGAGTAGAACAGCTGGCAGGGAAGGGGGCGGGGGAGCTTTCGACGACTCTTGCACCAGAAATATACCCTGTTGATGTTGCTGTATCTACTTGCTGCCCTGGGAACCTGACACTCTGTGGTTTTCTCACCTGGTATCCTGCATATTCATTTGTACTCAGGCTCAGGGCCTGCATTCTCCTAAGTGCAGTCTTCACCTACCTATAGTAAGCCAGCCTAGGAGACTTTTGTCTTTAATGTCAAACTCTCAAGCCCCACCGTCAATACTTTTTCTGCCTTCCTCAGCAAAAACGGAAGCTGCGAATTTTCATTTCTAACACTTTCAATCCGGCTAAGTCAGATGCTGAAGATGGGGAAGGGACAGTGGCTTCCTGGGAGCTTCGGGTAGAAGGACGGCTCCTGGAGGATGTGAGTTCAAGGTCTACTGTCTGGTGTTGAAGGTGGGAGCTGCTGGGAATAAGCAGGGTTGTGTGGTCAGCAGGAAGCCTGACTGGTGCTTACAGCTCCTGTTGGGAGCTTCAGGAAAGGGGGAGGGGTGCTGTGTTCCCTGCACACAAAGACAATGGTCCTTTGTATCTGCTCCCACAGCTTCACTGGTATCAAATGGAAGCCATTATTGTCCTGGATCTGGGTTGTTGTTTACTTTGCCTTTGGATTTAGCAGCATCTGCAGATCATTTCAGTAGTCCCTCATCCCCACCTCCCGAGTCAGTACTTAGCATTGGAGGCCACGATCCTCTCAAGTCCTTGAGGTTATTTCTGTCTTCCCAGCTTTCATTGGAGATACCACAGTTTAAGTGTGCTAAAATTCCCCTAAGGCTTGGCTCTTGGTTGCTCCAAGGGGAGTATCAGATCGGTGAGAGCCCCCACACTTGCCACCCTGCAGCCCCTTGGGGAGGCTCCTTTTTCACTCGTCCCCTTGTCCCCTTGCTCTCCGGCACTATTTTTAACTGTGTGCAGGTGAGCTCATTTGAATGCATTTTTTGCAGAACCAGAGCCGCCTCTGCGTGGGTCCAGTCTGCTGTCGTGTCTTCTGTCCAGATAAAGCCAATTTTTCTTCTACTGGTTTTTGCCTTTGGGTCCCTTCCCTCACCGCTGGGCTTTTCTCTGTTCAGAAGCACTTTGTTATGTTACCATTTGGGGTAACTTGCTTCCTTTCCCCAGGGGGAAGTCAGAGGCCCGTTCTTGTCGCAGTCCTGCTGCCACCGGGCTGACTTAATGGTCACCTGCCACTTTAAGAAGACATTTCCCAGAGTTTTTCCTCATTAGGATTAGAAACCATAAAGAACATTGTCTTGGGGAGTTCTTTCTGGCTTTTTCTAATATGACGTCTTCCTGTCTTTTCTAGTCAGCCTTGTCCAAATATGATGCCACCAAGCAAAAGAGAAAGTTCTCTTCCTTTTTTAAGTCCTTGGTGATCGAACTGGACAAAGACCTCTATGGGCCAGACAACCATCTGGTAGAAGTGAGTATTTCTGCCTTCCAGGCTTTAATCATGTGGGGGGCAGGGCCAAACTTGAACAGCTAGGGAAAGAGGGAGGAATGAAGGATTGGTCCAGGTGTGTATTTCCACCTTTGCAGTTTGCATATTGACCTCTAGGTGGCGCGAGCTGTACTTAGTTGGAACCCAAGAGCTCTTGTAATCTGACTTGACCCACCTGACCACTGCCCCCAAAGAAAATTCGGATGGAGTTCTCTTACACTTCTGGCTATCTCTGCATCTTGCTTATAAGTACTGGTGGGCTGTAGTTACTGGCACATTGTATTTTCCTGATAGCTGTTGTCGTAGTTAGCGGGTGGACTATAGAATACTCGTGTTTGCTAGGTTATAGCTCCAGCTCTTCCTTTAGATTTATATTTTAAATAACTAGAGATTCTTTATAACACCTCCTTGTACAGTGTTTTGAAGATGTTAGCAACAGTGTTTGGGACACAAACCCAGAACAGTCCAGTGTTCCATGTGAACTTAACCTGCCCCTCTCTTTACCACTGTAGCTGCAGCCCCTTAATCTCAACCACTAAGAGACATGGGAAGGTCTCTGCCATCTAAGAAGGGAAGTAAGTCGTAGAGTCGATAGAAATTTGTGGAGACATTTGATTTTATAGCAGTAGCGTGTGGTGGCTAAGACACACCAGAGCTCACATCTCGCTTCCATTACATATTGACCTCATAGGTTGCTTCCTCCTTCCAGGTAGCACTTTGCTCATTGTAAGAGGGGTTTACTCACACTTGTCTTCAATGGGTATTTGGGAATTAAATGATAATCTGGGTAAATGTTATAGACTCAATATGTCACCCTCAAAAAATTGAAGCTACCTTACTTAGGTTTCCGTTCCATGTATATTGTCCATTTAGTGGGTAAAATTATCA